GCTTGAATGGTAGCATGGTGATGTATTTCTTTGAATTGCTCTTCAGTCCTCATTGTGTTCATTCTGTTAATGACACCATTTACAACAGTGTATGCTGCTGCCAAATCCAGGTCTTGCCGCTGAGGAGCATTTGAAGCATGCTGCTGTTTCCATGAATATTGGAGTTGTTATCTCCAAGCAAAGGATAAATTCAAAGTTAATGCTGTGCAGCAGCATGTTTGCTTCCCCTGTAGCTTGAACAGGTGGCTCAGACTTTGTCAGATCTTCTAGGAATTGCACAACTGCAGGGAGGCATTTTCTGAGAGTCTTTAGGGCTGTTTCCCTGCAGCTCCATCGGGTGTCTGAGAGCTTCTGTAGCTCAAGGGCACGCTGGCCTGGATTCATGGTTTGCTGTGTTTGTACAAATGCTGCATGTCGTTTTGTGGAGTTGGCAATGAAGGTGTAAAGTTGTTCAACTACTGTGAAAAAAACGGACAAAGTGTATGCTTGACTTAGCGCTCTCCACTAGAGCAACGAGCATGGCAATGAACATATAATGCCTTTTCATTTTGCTTTTGTATGCTTGACTGTAGTCCTTTATAAGGCCCGCTCATGTTGGTAGCTCCATCGTAGCCTTGGCCATATATGTCCTCAACTTTCAGCTGGTTCTCCTTCAGCACAGTCATTACTAGGGTTTCAAGTTGTTCTCCTGTTGTTGACTGAACATCACAGAGCTGAATAAAGCGCTCCTTTATCATCATGTAATGCACATAACGCACAACATGAATGCATGAAAATATTGATGCTTCCCTCACTTCCTTCAGTATGGAGCGTTTAACATAAACAGCTAGGGCTCTAATTAGGTCATTTTGTATTCGGTTTGAGAAGAGAGACACCTGAGGTTTTTGATGTGATGCCTGTTTTTCCTTGATTTTGTCAAGATGAAGCTTCAGGACACTGTCATATTGGCCAACCATCTCCACAAGCTCTAAGAAATTTCCTTTGTTTGAACCTGACAGGCTTTCGTCGTCACCTCTGAGGGCCATGCCTTGTTTTGCTAAGTACAATATAATATCGAATAGTCGGTAGATAATCTCCCTGTTGTTTTGCCTTTCTCTTTCTTTGGCTGCTTGCATTTCTTCTTTTTCTAAAGCTGCATCCAATGCTTTTCTTTTAAAGGCATTCCACCGAATCATGCCAAGCATGTGTGACTCTGTCCTGCTATGCTCCTTCATTTTTTCTTTAGCCTGCTTCCATAGACTTACCCCTACTGACTTCCAACCTGTCCTGCTCTTATACTTCTCATCATTCATGAAAAGCCTGCAGCTGAAACAGTACATTGCATCATTCTTAGGAGAATACTCTAACCAGGGGTGTTCTTCATACCATTGCCTCTGAAATGATCGTCCTTGTTCATTTTTTTGGGAACTGCAAAATTGGACGACAGGGTCCTACTGAATTTGACAATTTTGTGAAGGCCGCATTGTATGTTATATTGTATTTCTTTACATGGGCAGGATCTGATGGATTTTGTAATTGGAACTAAAACTCAAAGTCTTCTGGCTCTTTCTTTCTTGTGTACACTGCTGTGGCTGCCTCATTTTCCATATCTTCTTGTTCTGCCTCTGTCTCTTCTCTCTCTTTCTCCCTGTATTGCCTTTCTGTCTCAATCTGAATATTTTCTGTCATTGGCTCAGTTCCATGACCTTCACTCCATGACCTTCACTCTGATTTGAGTTGACTCTGAGGCAGAATCATCTTAATATAGAAAATGAATAACAAACCTTTAACATATTGTAAATACTGCTTAATGCTAATTCAATTTATGTTGCTGTAATTGTCTATCTTTCTTCTTATCACACTATAGCACAGGGGTGCTCAAGCTCAGTCCTGGAGGGCCATTAACCTGCAGATTTTAGCTCCAACTTGCCTCTAACACACCTGTCAGGAAGTTTCTTTTATGCTTATTAAGAGCCTGATTAGCTGTTCAGGTGGGTTTAATTGGGGTTGAAGCTGAACTCTGCAGGACAGCGGCCCTCCAGGAGCAGGACTGGGCACCCCTGCTTGAGCTGCTACTTTCAGCCAGTTTAACAGGCTTACCTGTACCTGTCTGATTTGGCTGATGCTCAGTGGGCTCTTCCTCACTCTCTGAGCCTGCCTCTGCTGCCTCATCTTGAATGGAAGTATCAGACATTTAATTTAATATCATACAGCATAAATCTATATATTATGCTATACTATGCTAATGTAAAAATCTTTTAGAACATTTATAGTAGCCAATATTCCATTTAGATAATGTATAGTCCTACTATTAATATGATCCATCTTTGCAGTGTTGAACTGCCTTGAGCAGCCTCCCTTCGCTTTTTCTCTCTCTGTTTCTGTCTTCTTTTTGTGAAGGCATTATTTTTCTACAAAGTGTGCCAATAACAGCAAATTTGGTGTTATTTATATCAGATCATATCGGGTTCAACAATTTGATTCGACAATAATTCTCGTTCGAGAATATGGATATTTTGTACACACTGTTAACTTAGCACCATTATTAAAAGACCAGGAGCAAAACATTACCAACACAAATACAAAAACAAACTACCAAATTATTAATTCAACCACTGTTTGTAATAGATTCATGCCCTTTCACTGCCTGTCGATGGGACGAACTTCTGAAACTGTTGTCTCCACTCCAGCACTCGGACAGAGACTGTGATACTGGGGAGCGAGCGAGAAAACATGGAGTGGATTAGCGGAAACAGTGGATCATTAGCAGAGTGTTAACAGACGTCCAGGACCGGGAATGCGTGTGCACAGGGGCAGCGGCTGAGAGGGGCACCTCAGACGATGAGTGCAGAGGGGCAGCACGCTGAGTCAATATTTATTTTGATTACTTTCGTGTGACTGATCAAGTTATTATATGTAGCTAGTATGAGTAACAAAATGTGTTCCCTGTGTCCAGATTTTACCGCAATAATAATGCAAAAACTGACATTTCAAATCAACCTTTAAATGTCAACTTTTACAAAAAGTAGTCTTTAATAGTGTAAATACTGTATATATCCAAATACATAATCTAATACATGTTATTTATTTTATATTAGGCCTATAGCATGGTGTATTTTTATTCAGTTTGTTAACAAAAGTTCTATGTTTAATATAAGTGAGTTTGTCGTTGTACCGTTTTGTTGTTGTCCATTCAAGCAATTGACACAGAATTGCCGCTAATTCAAAAGTGAAAGTAAAACGCGCAAGGGCATTTAGAGCATTCACTATTTAATAGTGAAAGAAAGTGAGCAAAAGAGGGAGAACCCCAACGAACCCCACCCCTCAGGGATACAGGTTTTACCGGTGTTGTCACACGTCGATTAACCAGTGGGATTTCATCACCGTCACAACCCTAATACACATGCACGCACACACACACACACACATACATATGTATACATATACATACATACATATACATATACATGTATGGCTGAGCAGTAACTGCCCTACCCCCAGTGATTTCGGCCACTGCCCCTCAAAATGTCTGTGCATGGCCCTGCACCCTCCACTTGTTCTAAACCTGTATGAGTTGTTCTTCTGTTGAACACAAAAGAAGATATTGTGCCCATACAAACCTGCCCATATTTGAATGTGTCAGATTGTTAGGCCTTGCATCAATGTGCTTTGTCCATCATACATCAGTGATCCCTGCATGCTTTTCTGTTAGCCATTCAGCCAGGCCACCAGCACAAATGGAGCTTTTAACATTTATGGCTTGTGCTGCCATGGTTGCTTGTGTGTGTGGCAACTTCACAGTCAGGCTGTAGGATGCTAATGACATCATTCAGACTGGCACACAAATTTAGGGGGGAAAGAAAGAGATGGAGTGTTTGATAAAAAGAGCACAGAATTCAACTAGTTTTGTCTCTAGCTGGTTACATCATCAGTTTGCAGGTAATGCATCTTTGTGTCTTACAAAATGACCCACATACATCAAACTAAACTGTCTATGGGAATCCTGAGATTTGGCTTCAATATCTAGCAAAGGCCTAGACAGGATCAAAAGACTTCAGAATTTGTTTGTGCTAATTTTGGGGCAGATCTGAAGAAAAATGTTAATGTTAGATGTGTGTTGAAGAATTTCAACTGACAAGGTCCTTGGGTCTTAATTACATTTAGCCATTTAACTTTTGCCCCAAATCCCATAGCGTTTCTTAAGTACAATTAAGATTAATAAGCACCAACACTGTTAATTTCAAGCCCACAAAAGAAGATATTGTGCCCATACAAACCTGCCCATATTTGAATGTGTCAGATTGTTAGGCCTTGCATCAATGTGCTTTGTCCATCATACATCAGTGATCCCTGCATGCTTTTCTGTTAGCCATTCAGCCAGGCCACCAGCACAAATGGAGCTTTTAACATTTATGGCTTGTGCTGCCATGGTTGCTTGTGTGTGTGGCAACTTCACAGTCAGGCTGTAGGATGCTAATGACATCATTCAGACTGGCACACAAATTTAGGGGGGAAAGAAAGAGATGGAGTGTTTGATAAAAAGAGCACAGAATTCAACTAGTTTTGTCTCTAGCTGGTTACATCATCAGTTTGCAGGTAATGCATCTTTGTGTCTTACAAAATGACCCACATACATCAAACTAAACTGTCTGGGAATCCTGAGATTTGGCTTCAATATCTAGCAAAGGCCTAGACAGGATCAAAAGACTTCAGAATTTGTTTGTGCTAATTTTGGGGCAAATCTGAAGAAAAATGTTAATGTTAGATGTGTGTTGAAGAATTTCAACTGACAAGGTCCTTGGGTCTTAATTACATTTAGCCATTTAACTTTTGCCCCAAATCCCATAGCGTTTCTTAAGTACAATTAAGATTAATAAGCACCAACACTGTTAATTTCAAGCTTATCCTCATCCAGCCTCCACCCTACAAAACAAGTAATTTGTTTATAGCCGTACCATTACAACTTGATAGACTTCAAACATAATTCTAACCCTAATCTCTCTTAAATCATATTCATACAGGCATATGGCCAGGTTCACTCCACCCGTAGAAAGGTGGCTGCAGACGGGGAAAGTAGGGAGGAGTCCCTCATCCTCGAGTCGGCATCTAAAGAGGCGTACTATGAGCAGAGAGTGCAAGAACTGCAGGCTGACCTACGACAAACCAAAAACACTCTCACCAGCACCCAGGCGGAGAACGAATGTCTGGGCACCCTCGCACTCGAGCTGAGAGAGGTTTGTGCTGTAGAGGGTTTTATTAAGAGTATTGAATTTACTAAACATATTTATGAAAGTTGTCCACATAAAAATTTACTCAACAGCAAACAAACCCAGTCAGTTATGAAACCAGTAGTGTTATATTCTATATGTGAATCTATATTCTTTATTAGTCATTTGTCAACTAAAGTTTGTTGTGTCCTTAAGAATAATGAAATTGTGGAGCTGCAGCGCAGTCGTCTGCGTGATGACATTCGAGAGTACAAGATCCGAGAGTCTCGTCTGCTGCAGGACTACACTGAACTGGAGGAGGAGAACATCAGCCTTCAGAAACAAGTCTCCACCCTTAAACAGGGTCAGGTTAGTAGCCCTGACCATTGATCACATCCCAAATGTGGGTGTGGAAGAGTAGACCAAGCTCATGAATGGTAATCAAAAGGTTGCTGGTTCCAGTCCCACAAAGCGAAGACCATGCACCATCACCTTGGAGGCACTTTGGATGAAAGTGTCTTCCTAATGATAACTACTGCTTTCACATAGTTGCATATGTACAAGTCTACTGTTGCCATAGCCTTAGTCTTTGGTTGGTTTCTCCTAAATCTCTTCCAAAGGTGGAGTTTGAGGGACTTAAGCATGAGAATCGACGCTTGGAAGAGGAAGTGCAGTACTTGAACAGCCAGCTAGAGGATGCTGTTCGGTTACGAGAAATAGCTGAGCGTCAGCTAACGGAGGCTCTAGAAACCGTAAAGACTGAGCGGGAGCAGAAAGCAGCTCTTCGAAAAGAATTGACACATCACATGACCCTGGGAGACTCGCTCCTTGCCAGCTCATTGGATGGGCTCAAACTGAGTGCAGATGAACCAAATAACGACGAAGCCATTCTGATGTTTGAAAACGGATTTGCTAAAGTCAGCGATGCTAATGATGAAGATAACAGATTGTCTTCACCCAAAAGAGATGGAAACTTCCGTCCCGCACCAAGTCTGGTGGATGACTTGTTGACAGAGCTGAACATCTCAGAAATCCAGAAACTCAAGCAACAGCTCTTACAGGTATGGCCATTTTTATGTGTACCGTTACAAATGCAATCCTTCGCATTTCAACCTTTTGGTCAACCTCGTTGACATAGTCACCTTGTTCCAGACCACTTAAAATGTAGCATTTTCCCCCTCCATTTCACCTTGCAGGTGGAGCGGGAGAAGGTAGCTCTTCTCACCACTTTACAGGACTCTCAGAAGCAGCTAGAGCATGCTCGAGGAACATTAGCCGAACAGCAGGAAGCAATGATGAGACTTAGCGATGATTTGGGCGTAATGAGGAGACTACAGGCAGGCAAGGAGCGGCAGTCGGCCCTGGACAGTGAGCGAGAGCGGGACAGTCGAGAGGACAATGATGTGGACTATTATGAGCTGGATATCAATGGGCCAGAGATTCTTCGCTGCAAGTATGAGGTAGCCATAGCAGAGGCAGGTGAACTGCGAGAGGAGCTTAAGACACTAAAATCAGAGCATGATGAGGTGAGTGGGACTGAGAAAAGTCGAGTTTTGTTCAGTATTATTTATGTTTTATTAATGGGTTGAAGGCACATTTCGTGGCAACTTGATTATGCATGATTCTTCTAGATGAAGGCCGAGTATGAAGAGGTACGGGCACGACTGGAGGGACAGGTGCGTGACCTCAGCATTCAAGTGTCTCAGCTGGAGAGCAGCAGTCGCACAGACAGAGATCAAGTCACTCGGTTGGAAAAGGAGCTAAAGGAAGTGAGTGCAGTTGCGGGCGAGACAGAAGGCAGTCTCAGCGTTGCCCAGGATGAGCTTGTTGCCTTTAGTGAAGAGCTTGCAAACCTCTACCACCATGTCTGCATGTGCAACAATGAAACCCCGAATCGTGTCATGCTTGATTTTTACAAAGAGGGTAAAGGAATCAAGACCGATGGTAAAGATTGTCAGTCTACGTTGACCCAAACCAGTGGCAGCACAGCCGAGGCACCCAGGTCAACCTCCACCGCTGCTGACAGCTCTACTTCTGGGACACCAGTCAGAGAAGATCCACGTCCTGAACCAATGGACATCTACAACCTAGTAGCAATAATTCGGGATCAGATACGCCACTTGCAGAAGGCGGTGGACCGTACCACAGAACTATCCAGGCAAAGAATTGCTTCTCTAGAGTTGGCCGCCGTGGCGGATAAAGACCAAGCTGCTTGCATGGAGGAGATTTTGAAGCTCAAGTCCCTGCTGAGCACTAAGCGAGAACAGATTGCCACGCTAAGGACTGTGCTCAAGGCCAACAAGCAGGTGAGAACAAAAACGATTAGCTTGGCATGGGTGAATATGACGGCAGAATATTGATCTTCTTGTAGACCATCCAAATGGACTGCCTTAGATTGTAGTATTACAAGAGCGTTTTCTGAACTGTGGTGTGGTTCTGTGCCCTTTTAGACAGCTGAGGTTGCCCTGGCAAACTTAAAGAGCAAATATGAGAATGAAAAGGTCATGGTCACCGAAACTATGATGAAGTTGAGGAACGAGCTGAAGGCTCTTAAAGAAGATGCTGCCACTTTCTCCTCTCTCAGGGCAATGTTTGCCACCAGGTACTGCAGGAAGACAACTGAAAGTTGCTTCGCTTCCAGCTTTCTTCATCTGGCAGAAATTCCTGCTACTGTCCAGAGAACAGTAGGGATATGCAATTCAGGTACTACATCTTTCTTGCACTATCCCTCATTCTCGTTTTCTTCTTTAGGTGTGATGAGTATGTAACTCAATTGGACGACATGCAGAGGCAGCTGGCTGCAGCAGAAGATGAGAAGAAGACTCTGAACTCCCTCCTGCGTATGGCCATCCAGCAGAAACTGGCCCTCACTCAGCGACTGGAGGATCTGGAGTTTGACCATGAGCAATCCCGAAGAGGATCCGGTGCTGGGCCTGGAGGCCGTGGGAAGACTTCATCTAGCCGTGGCAGAGGACCCTTGTCGTTTTCCAGCCCCCATGTAAGTCCTAGACTTCCCTGTAAGAACCGACCACAACCACACGGCCTCATTGGAAGTCCTGCGGTTTTCTGCAGTGAGAAGTATAAAATTCTGTGTGACACTGGATCCGATTAACACGTGTGTAATTGTCACTCATCAGCATCCTCATGCTAACTAACAATCCTTTTACTGTATGTGTGCTTGGGACAAAACAATGCTAGCATGTCACTGTTTGTGCTAACAGTTGATGGCTTCATTAATACTTGTCTAAAGGTCGGGGCCTAGTCCTTCTCCTGTAGATCTACCTGGAGAGATTGGATGGGTTGGTAATGGTACCTACTAGGGTTATCACAATCACTACATTTTTTTATTTATTTTTTGTAATAGGCAGACTCCAATATTTGGGTACCGAAGTGAATCTCTTTAGTTTCGACATTCGGCACTCGTGACATTTGTACTACCTGCTGTTTTTTTGCTTTTTAAAGAAAGCAGTCTGGCGCCGACATATAGTGATGTTGCGCTCCGGGCGTCCCGAGTTCGAGTTCCAGCTCGCAGGCCTTTCCCGATCCCATCCCCTCTTTCCCGATCCCATCTCTCTCCCACTTCGCTTCCTGTCTAAATACTGTCCTGTTACAATAAAGGCAAAAATGCCAAAAGCAAATCTGAAAAAAGAAAGAAGGAAAGCAGGCTGTAGTGCATACTATTTTCCGGTATGCATTGATTAACTGCATGACCTACCACGATTGTCAAAATGTGCAGTATATGACCAAAGCACATTGGTGTGTAATGTACAATGCAATGCATTGTTTCCATTTTCATTGTTTTTGTACAAACAGATATTTTAGATTATTCCAGTGAGTTTAGTTGCAACCCATAGATATCTATAAACAAGGATTGAGGAAACAATTAAGAAAAAGTACTATACTTTGAAATACATCTACGTCTGTCTAAATTAGTCTTTTCTCTCTGAACATCTGAGACCAGTGTTTCTGCTTCAACCCAACCAGCACTGAATGTCATTGAGTTAAACCCAGTTTCACAAAGCTAGTCTGTTAATCTCTGTGTCAGTGCGAATAAATCTGTGTAATCCCAACAGAGACGCACCTTACTGAGCCTGCTGGGAGCTTTGCAATCCAGGTTGCAACCGTAAAGGACATAATTCATGATAAAGATTTTTTGTTAAAAATGACAAAAAATGATAGGTGTCTTTTGTTAAAGATAATGTCTAGATTTATGGCCTAATGGTTAAAGAGTCGGACTTGTAACCCAAAGGTTGCAGTTCCGAGTCTCGTACCGGCAGGGATTGTAGGTGCGGGGAGTGAATGTACAGCGCTCTCTCCCACCTTCAATACCATGACTGAGGTGCCCTTGAGCAAGGCACTGAACCCCCAACTGCTCCCCGGGCGCTGTAGCATAAATGGCTGCTCACTGCTCCGGGTGTGTGTTCACGGTGTGTGTGTGTGTTCACTGCTGTGTGTGTGTGCACTTTGGATGGGTTAAATGCAGAGCACTAATTCCAAGTATGGGTCACCATACTTGGCCACATGTCACGTCACTCACTCACTCATGCACAGAAAAGATGTTAATTCAGAAATTTTAGACTAAATTTCTTCAAGATGAATTTGAGAAGTTGGTTTCAACTATTTTATCATGTCATTCCATGTCTTTGTTGATTTTGTTCGTACTGTTTCATCTAGCCTTTCAGCCAGCATAACACATTGTCCATGTTATCTTTACAGTGGTGACTCTGAACCACTTTATCGTGCATGATCTGTTGTTCTCAGTTTGAACTGTTTGTATTAGTTGGCATGTTGTCTGTTGCATGTGAGTCTTCTGCTTCCTGCAGTCCATTGCATCTGGAAAAATGATTCTTCTGCTGTGTACTATTGTTGACGGTAACATTCACTTGTCTATGTCCAGTGTTATCAACTTGACTTATTAGCTATATTCATTATTTACAATACATTTGGGTCAGCTATGATGTAATAATTCTGATGGGCATTTTGTTTCTCAATTTTGCAGTAATTTTATTAGCTCTGGAGATTATCTGCAAACGGTTATTTCCCCTCTTCCTCCGTTCTACACTATTCGTCCAGAATACACATGCCTGGTCCAATTTTGGAAACAAGAAATTTGTCCCTGGATGTGGCTGCCAACCGATCTATGTAATCATTATTTTGACTGTTACTGTGGTATTTTTTTCTGCTTTGTTTTTGTTTAATGTGCACTTCCAGTGCACTAGTTAATATTATGTAAGAGTTGCACATTTCAGTATGCTTGGCACATTTGTGTTTTGTTTTGTTCTTGCGAATTTTATGTATTTAACTGAAAAAAAAAATTATAATATAAGAATTGTGGTTTGTTTATAGTATTTTATGCTTAACTGTCAGGTTCTAAGCATATTCCAGGGAGAACAATTATGTTAAATAGGCCTATATATGTTTCTTGTTCTGTTCAAAAGTCAAACATTCTAACGGAACATTATCTTGATAGTCATGTAGTGTAACTTCACTTGTGGAACAATAACTTTTGACTTGCTCCTTAGAAGTTTGGAGTCATTGTGGGTCAAGGATATGTTAAATTCAGACATAAAAAAATATCAATTCCAAATTGGAATACTTTCTACTTTTTTGCCAAATACTGCATTAAGGTCAGCATTTTGTATTTTACATTGCAATACATATTTGTTTTTAGACATTGATTATCTGTTTTGTATAACCCTCTCATAAGACCTTCTGTGCCTTTTATGCCACTATTGTTTTTTTGTTTTCATGAACTATTCTAAGAGCCATAGTCTTCAGTATTTCTGTAAGTCTCAGATCTAGCCCACTTGGCCCAGTGTGTGAACATCTAATTTGGACAATAATTAAACGCTCCTTCTGAATGTCAGCTCAGATTTCTTGTTTAGGAGATTTTAAATGTTAGTAAGTATTAGGTGTGTTCAAATCATACATTCCTTTAAGGAAGTAATGATTTCTGATGGCTGTCTGTTGACATTGTTAGTCATTATTGTCCTGTGTGTAAACTTGCTAATTATTTTATTTGTTTGTATTTCAGCAAGCAGAAAACTTTGCCTCGGAACATTAGTGCCATTTCAAATTTAAGATATTGTAAAGTTTTAAATGATCTTTTTATCTGTCTTTTTTTCCCTTTTGGCTACAAATTAAGTGCAATTTTGTGTTGTTTCTGGAGTGTATGCAATAGTTTTCTATTTGCTGAAACCGCTTCATCAGCCATGTCATAGTTTTATGACATTGAGTTATTTTTACACATTTGCATGGAATGACTTCACTTGTTTGTTCATATTTATTCATAACCTTGGCTATCATTTCAGTATTAAGGACAGGTTTGTATGCGTTATTACTAGCAGATCCGCTGCCTCTTTGCAGCTCTACTTGAAATATTACAGGTACAATGTAAGCTATACTGCCTCGTATGTTTTCTTTTTTTACAGTGCTGATGTACAGTGTTGTGCTTTTTTTTTTTTACATTTATGCTTCTCTGTAGTTTATCATGAGGAACACATTATAGGCCCATGTCTGTCTTAACATTTCTCAATAAACTAATATAAAATATTACATTTAGCTTCAAGTTGTATATTGGTAGTTGACAATTAGACACTTTTCCAAGAAAGCAGAGTGGGGAAAGGATTTGCCTGGAGAGAGGAGCGGGTTGAGTGCAATTCTATATACTTAAAAATGAGCAATTACTGTTTTTTGAACTATTGTACAAAAGCAATATTGCACAACGGTTCCGTAGTAGCCTACTAATGATCAAATCAGGGTTGTGCTGATATTAAGAAAAAAGATTTCCTGCTCAGGTGTTGATGGATAACATAGACATTTTTTTCTTACTTTAAAAAAAAAACTTAGTTCCCATATTTCCCGTTATATCTGAACATAAATTGACAGTTGATGACACTAGTAGGACATGTGCAGAGAGATATTTATTTTGACAGGGTTAAACAAAAAAAAAACAAGTGCCACAAAGAAACGGAACCGTCTTATTATACGCTACCGTGTGTGTATAAAAATGTATATTATTTATACATTATATAACTTTATTATAAATTCTAAATAAACTATTATTATCGTTTTAGATAAAGTATAGCCCTCACTGCGTACCGTGTCTAATATACTAATATTCAGCAAGTGTTTCTTCAATGCAACCGAAGGGAATCGAATCTAGACTTTACACTAAATAGAAACTGAATTTGCGTGAACTTCCGTGTGTAACCCTCACTTTGATCGGAACTTCCGGCAATTCTCACCACGGTCTCCGCCCCTCCATATACAACACAATGGGCGTTTCCAAACAAAAGACAGCAGAGGGCACTTCAAAATGGGAGGTCAGTCAAACTTCTATTTGTTATTTATAAGTATAAATATGAACTATAAATACATACTTTTTACTTTATAAAGTGAGTTTTATAGGATCTTATGCTCACAAGCTTGAGCTGCTTCGACTAGTTTTGCCTCGACAGTTGTTGTTGTGCTCTATTACGGTGTATTAAGTCTACCCTGCTTAATATGTTGCATTTCAGAAGCTCTATAATCTGTTGATATAGTATTTCTGAATTTATAAGGCGTTTTGTTGGCTAAAAGGCATTGAAATAACACTCAATCTACTTCAAAAGTATGTTTGACAGTCTTGCGTTCCCGGTGTCTCTGCTCAATGTAATATTTATGAGGTGCCTCCATCTACTGGCTGAAATGTGCACAGCATTTATAGAGATGTTTGTTACTAGTCTGGATTATTTAAAGGAATAGTTTATCCCAAAAATATATATATTTTAAATTTTACACTGTCATTTAGTCGTTACAACTTCAGGGATCTTATCTATGCACAATCAGCTTGTAACACTCCAAAGAGAAAGGAAAACTTGAAATCGCATCATATGACCCCTTTAATAATGGGGTTTTTCAATTTATGAGTAAAACAAGGTTTGTGGGAAACATACATTTACTATACTATACTTTTTGCTGTACAACTTATATTACACACACTTATACTGAAAACACAAATTTTGAAGTAGTTATTATTATTATTTTTTAAATGTGTTCATAACTACATAAGAATGTTTGGGGTGTGCGAGTGAGCAGCAAAACGTATTTTAATATGCTGATTATCAATATTTAAAACCGTTGAGTATTTTTTTTTCTTCAGGATTCTTTGATGAATAGAAAGATCCAAATATCAGCATTTATCTGAAATAAAAAACTTGTAACATTATACACTATTCCATTCAGTATCATTTTTATAAATTTTTTGGGAAAGAAATTATAGAAATTAATACTTTTATTTAGCAAGGATGCTTAAAATTGATCAAAAGTGATGATAAAGGCATTTATAATGTTACAAAAGATTTCAAATTCAGATAAATAGTGTTCATATCGATATCAGAATTATATCGTATCGACCGAAATGAAGAAATATATTGTGATATCAATTTTGGCCATATCGTCCAGTCCTACGTTTAAGTATCATCAAGTTATGTTTACCACAGACCTTGTTTTACTCATGAACTGAAAAACCCCATTGGAAAATCTCAAGGGAACCCATGGTGAATTAGTCTTCCAGGTTTTATTATTATAGCTGCAGCACTCTATACATATAAACAGTCCATATTTGTACTTTACTTCTTTTTCCAATAATGATATTCCCAAACATTAGTTCAGGGATTTGGATGTGCCCACCTGTATCAGGCTGGCGGAGCTGCTGTCTCATCTACAGGACAAAGGAGAGGAGGCATGTCGAGAGTTTTACAGTGCACTGCACCTCCACGTGGAGGACGTTTATTTCAGCTTACCCACACGTCTCCGACTCAGAGGTTGGCAGAACCATCATTTTCCACTCGTAACCACTCAAAAACGTCATACTTGTGAGGATATTCATTTAGTTTTTTCAATGCAGCATATCATTTCTGATTCATAGTGGTTGTGGAAATTTATTTAAAGGAATAGTTCACCCCAAAATTCAAATATACTGAAAATTTACTCACCCCCAGGCCATCCAAGATGTAGATGAGTTTGTTTCTCCATCTGAACAGATTTGGATCCTCTGCAGTGAGTAAAAAGATCACAATAGTCCACAAGTACAGAACACAACTTCAGTGAGGTGAAATTAATGTAATAATTTCATCAAGGCATTTTTCAACTTACAAAAACTGTCCATAACAGTTCTCAACAAATATGTTGGTGGATTTTGATGTGAGAGGACAACAGGGCAACACTTTTCCCCAATGTTCCCCACTTTTCTCCAGTGGAAAAAGCACAACACTTTTTCACTGGAGGAAGTTTTATTATGGATTATGTTAACATATGGATATGTTATTATTTTGGCCAGAAGCAGCGGTTTAAAGTTAAAATGGCTTAATGAATTTATTACAAACATGCAGCTTTTCACGTCACAAGACATTAATTAATGGAATGGGGTCATGTGGATTACTTGTAGATTATTATGTTTTTATCAGCTGTTTGGAGTCTCATTCTGACGGCACCCATTCACTGCAGAGGATCCATTGGTGAGCAAGTGATGTAATGCGATGTGATGTAATAAAATTATCTAAATCTGTTCCAATGAAGAAATAAACTCATCTATATATTGCATGGCCTGAGGGTGAATACATTTTCATTTTTGGGTGAACTATTCCTTTAAGCTTGTTATTAAGCTTTACTTGGAAGCGTTTTTGGTTTGAACACCAAGTTTGATTTGTTTTTGTAGATTCTGGTGAACCAGTCGGCCCAATCCCGAGTCCCACAGACAGATATGTAATAAATGACCATAGTAAGTCAACCTTTTCTGTGATTATGCACTAGTAAACAATTTATATAAATTGTTCCATCATGTTTTTTTTGCTTTGTTTTTTTGTCATTGCCCAGGTCCGTTTTTCTTCCTTAGTTGTTTCAGTGTGGCTGTAGGAGCAGCTCTGCTTTATTACTATGGTGGTAAGCGCACAAACTTGTTAATATCTTCACACCCACATCAAATATGAATTTCCTAGATTGAAAGTGCTCAAAATGTTCTTATCTGCAGAGTCCAAGCAGGTGTCAGGCTCCAGCAGCGCTCTGGGTCTGGCTGCGATGGGTCTTAGTAGAAAAGTGCGGGACGTTCTCATCTGGTACATAGAAGATGGAAAATAATGGATTTTTTGCTGCCTTAAAAAAATAATTTAGACACCGTAATCAATTCCGAAATACTCAATTACCCATGTCAAAAATATAAAAATTTTAATTCAGGTTTAAAAAAAAAAAAAAAGATGTACATTACTATGTAAATACAGAAATTATTGCTTTAAGGCAGAATTTCAAAGATTTGATTGTAAGGTTTCAAAATATAGAATCTCGTTACAATTTAAATATAACAATAGAATGGTTTATATAATTACTTAACATCTGTAATCAAACATTACAGTCATGCATTTGAAATAATAGCCATTTATATGCAGTACCAAGAGCAGGAACTCATTACCTTTTAAGAAATGTTGGGTAGGAACCAAACTCGCTACTTAGGCTGAAGTATTCAGTTGAAGTTGAAACGCAGAGCTGCTCTGTGAATGTTGCAACCCTTGTTCTGTTTGTGAATTTGTTTTATTGTACTTGAAAAATAGACCTCAAACTCATTTATATATTATTTATAGTCTCACAGACTTGGGAATTATTTGGGCAAGAGATTATTTTAGTAAAACGTGGACACAAAATTCACTACACCATTTAGTGGATTCAAAACTGGGTAAGCTTGACAAATCAAATAGATCAACGCGTCAGAATATTTTGACATGCAAGACAATAAAGACCACAGGTAAATCTGAACCTTGGAGTATTAGGAGTTTGTTACTTTGTAATACCTTTTTTGTGGGCTAAGATTTCAACAGTTGTGTTTATATTGTTCGTTTACTTTTATATTAGCAGCATGTTTGTACTGGTTTGTGTACTAATAATTCATATTCTCAATTTACTCTTGTGGCCTTGTTTCTGCAGTGCAGTTGTGTTTTGTAAAACCTATTTGAAACGTTTGGCCTAGAAACTTTTCAGATAAATGGCACGTTCACAATAGTTAACTGAGAAACTATATATTTTTTTTGTCAGAGGCTAAAAAAAATATTAGGCTAAATAAAACTGTGGAACTGTTGCTAATGTACTTGCACTAATGTTTTGATATACCAGAGCAAACACTTGTGGACAAGTGGAAAACGATTGCTGAAAAATAGTTTTATTGATGTCAGAATGATTGTTTTGTTCTTAAATGCAGCAGCTTTAGGTCTGAAGAAGACCAGTGCGCAATATTGAATGTAAAAACAACTTTAAGTAGGTCTACTATTGATCTGTGCACTGAAATAATTACGTAATGCATTTATTTGTAATTGCTTGGTTTTCATTGGACTAATACTGTTCTCTACAAGTGAAAAAAGGCAATCTTTGGTCATTTATACAAACAATATCCATATAAAATGTACAAAAATTTCAAGAAACAAACATATGGATAGTAAATCACAACAAACATCAAGACACTAAATAACTTTAAAACTTAGTCACAAATATTTCAAAGAAAAAAACAATAGGCTTCGTTCTGTCTGTAGCATAGCTCCTTGTCAGTAGATGACGCTCTTATTTCAGTGTTTACTGCATCAATGCAATCAGACAACATGCATATCAAGTTCTTTTTTAATACTTAAACCAAACAACTCAATTTATGACGCTTTTGGTCTACTAATACAAGATAAAAATGTGCTAGATTTATGATGGCAAATCAGATTTAGTATTCATGTTTTGTAAAGGTACTGCATTTTGTAAGAAAAGATTTAAACTCTTCATATATTCATGATCAGCTTGAACTGTAAGTACCTTGTTCTGACTTTAAGCAGTTTATCCATGCGGCAAGACCTTTTAAGTAAAAACAAACACAAACGTGCCATGTGCAAGAGTTGCATTCTGTTAAACCACACGTGAAATGAGTCCATTTCCCCCTAACCACAGTGATCAGAGGCTTTCAGGTAGACAGTATGAAGATCCAATGTAAGGTGAGGTGCTACTGTCCCTTTCAGGCTTGAAAGGTATTGTTTGTCATTGTCTTGATTATTTTCAGTCTCAATCTCAAATCTATTAAAATATTTGATCCAATTTCATATTCAAATGCATTTTAACAATGTGAAGTACATATATAATTAAACAATTATATGTAATTGCATTTTTTAATTCAATTTAGAATTTATGGTCCACAACGTATAGTATTTTAGTATACTAGTAGCAGCTCATTTTGGGATTTAAAAAAAGTTTCTGCAAAACATAAGGCATATTTACTTAGAGGCACATTTGAATATGTCATGACAACTTTTTTGATTTTTGATAATAAATGTCCAACTATATATACACCTGTAGGAATCCCTAAACTGGAGTTGCCAATTAAGTTTTTGTGTGCTCTGGTCTTTGGATGCCAAATGCGGTGATGAAAATATTTACTACTACGATGATAAAGACGAGAGCTGTGACGATGTTCTCCAGAAGATTCAGTATGAAGTGTTTACTTGTGTCATTCAGATTCCACTTCACTGTAGAACAAAAGCAATAACAGCAGCTCATTATGTAATTCAGAACATTTACGAAAACTGATTTAACAGCTTCTTAAATTAAAATGAAAGGGTAAAATCTGACAAATATGGGACAAGAAAATGATAATTATATGGTGTCCATCGTTCAGTAGTGACGGCTCATGTTTAAAAGAACTCGCATAATTACTGTAAAACTTTCAATACCAAAGCTGAAGCCCATTTTCCACCAATTAGAGTGTGATTGTGATCACAATCGATTCCAGTGTAAAGCACAGTGTTGTGTTTAAGGAAATACTAGACAGTTAATGGACGCTGGGTGTTTTTTGAAGTTGAGCATATGAATATTTCTCAAATTGGGACGGAATTTCTTTATATGATTGAAACCTCTTTCTCAAACTGAGAAAGCTCTTACTCTCACTTTGTGGACAAAAATAAAAGTGAAAGTAAAAGCATTTCTAATGGAAACACCAAAGTGTTGCAGGACTGACTTTTACCACCTGATATAATTATGCTGAAATACTAAATGCACAATAGCAAACAGATTTGTGTAGGATCAACCTCTCTGCAACTTCTGTACTGAAAGTTCTGTTCTAGTATCATGTATCAGTTCTCCTTCTACACAATTATTATTGGATTGAATTGCCAAATGTTAAAATAATTCACCCAAAAATTACAATTCTGTCATCGTGTACTTACCCTCATGTCTTTCGAAACCCTGTAAAGAATTTTCTCTCTTTCATAGAACACAAATGGAATTTATTATTACAGCAAAACATCCATGCTGCTTTTTTCTGTATAATAGAAGTGAATGGTGGCAAGGCAAGACATATATTTGTCTGTCCTGTGTTCATCCATAACTGTCTGGTTTGGTTCAGCAACCAAATCAGATATCAAGAGACTACAACGGACAGTCAGGACTGCTGAGAGGATTATTGGTGCCCCTCTGCCCAGCCTCCAAGATCTTTACATCTCCAGAGTGAGGAAAAGGGCTAAAAAAATCACCTTGGACCCCTTACACCCAGCCCATTCTCTCTTCGAACTATTGCCTTTTGGCCGGTGCTACAGAGCACTGACCACCAGAACAGCCACACTGTAAAAAATGACCGTGAATTTAACGGTAAAAGACTGTAAAAATGCTACAGTAAAAGCCTGTTAAATGGTTAACGGTAAATTCCCCTACTATATACGGTGAAAAACTGTATTGGACATTACATGTATTGGACATTAATTTTACGGTAGTATACCGTTTTTGGAAGTGAAAAATACCGTATAATTTACAATGAATAACCGTAAATTGACATTCCCAGAATTCCCTGCGTTACATTTAAAATTGTATGTTTTTTTGTTGAAATAACTATGTTTCTTCTTAGTTTTTTCTTATCAGTTTTGTATATTAGGGTTGTGTGTTACACCTAATGTTGTTAAATGAATGTTTATTGCATTATTTCAGTTTCATGTGTGTTACCATAATGGTGTTTAGTGTTTGTGTGAATGACACTGTGCACCTTCTATATATGTTATTATTTAAAAGCTGCTTTGGTTCATCATGTGACTTTCTCATCACCACCTGCATTTGGTGGTTATCAGTGTATTACAAAGGTACAAAACAGATTTCAGTACTTTAATAGGTTGGTATATTAACATTATATCAAATTAAATCACGTTATTTAACTGTAAATTTAAAAAAACCGTAAAACCTAAAACGTTGCTACCGTATTTTTTA